ATATATTATTATTGTCATCATATCTTTATCATTAGTGTTTATATTATGCCTTTTTTATTGTTATTATAAATACAGTATTATCTTAATATTATTTTTATTAATGCAGTTTTTATTATTGTTATGTTGATGTAAATGAGAAAGGAATAACAAAGACAATGATTTCAAACAATTCAGTTTTGACATAGTTCGGCTTATTTATTTTGGTAATTACTGTATTTTGTATACACCAGTAAATGGGGTTGAAGATAAACATTGAGATATGACTTGCGAAAGAGTGTACAGTAGGCCATCCTAAAGGCCTGTTTACACTTCAACGATAATGATAACGATAAAAAATGCTAAAAGCAATTGTTCATATAGAAAATAAAATAAATAAGAGAAGTTTTTACACTAGTTCAATTCGATAACGATTTATCAGTTATGCGATAACAACATATTTTTACATATCAAATCAGATGACGTCATAATCATGGAAAAACATTAAAATCGTCGTAGTAGCAACGATTTTATCGTTTGTCCATGATTATGACGTCATCTGATTTGATTTGTTAAAATTTTTTGTTATTGTATACACGATAAATCGTAATCGAATCGTCCTAGTGTAAAATCTTCTCTTATTTATTTTGTTTTCTATATGAACAATCTCTTTTTAGCTTTTTAATCGTTATCGTTATCGTTGAAGTGTAAACAGGCCTTAAGCCTATCTATACTGTTCTTACCTGACCACGTCCACAACATGGTCCGTTGTGGCTGGATTGGTGGCGGTGGTGGTGGTACAGAATTGGTCTAGGCCCATGACTAGGGTACTTTTCATTGACGATATTCTTTGATTCCATTTTGCAATTTAACGGGCTAAATACAGTCTTTCCAATCATTTCAGTCTCAGCATATAATATAGGCCTAGCCTGGACTAAGAAACCAAACTTAGCTACGGCCTAGACCAAACCAGCAGGGTTGCCAGATAGTCGACAGCCTTCACGGCCAAACACACGCCATCTCACGGCCAAATAAAATTCAGCCAAACTTTTTTTCTATTTCGATTAGAAAACAACAGTGGGTACATAGGCCTATTCATTTGAAATACTACAAAATTTAACGAAAATCAGCGGTCATTCGTTTGAAATTGAAGAAATTCAAATGATATATACAGAACAATGTTAAAACTTTCACTGTTTTTCTTCTTTTAATTAATATATCACCATAAAATACATGCCCAGCTACATCATAATATTAATTACCGGTAGCCTAATGTTCTTTAGTTGCTGGCATGTAGGCCAGTTCAGGGGCGAATCCAGAGATATCCGAAAGGGGAAGGAGCCGGGGCCGAAAAAATGGGGGGGGGGGATGGGAAAGTTGGTCCGATCGAGATAACACCATCTTAGAGGAAATTTTGTTTTCTAGACGCCCGAAAACAACCTGATGCGTTTGGGCGATTAAATTTTTCTTTCTTTTTTTTTTTTTAATTATTAAGATTTATCTATAATTTGATTTAAATGTATTAAATATTAAGGTACATTGTAGTCGATCTATAGAAAAAATGTTAAGGGCCTGTTATTGGCAAATCCGTGGCTCTCTTTAATTAGAATTAATTAAGTTACATAGGCCTAGTTACAGTAGGTAACACAAACTGGAGTTAAAACCAACCTATGAAAACTTTAATAAATAGGCTACTTTTTATCTAAACTTTCTAAATTCGCCTCTGAATGTTATTGCCGCAGTACTTAAAGCAATAAATCAATGTTGCTATCAGAATTATTTTCTTCATTCGAAGAAGTCTCTGCAACACTTGAAATTGGAGGTGCCATCGGACCCGAATGATCACATCGAGCATTTATGGCGCTCTACATAAAGAACACTGCAGCACCTAGGGCTATACAATTCAAGTGGGCAATAATAAATTAATTAAAGTACAGTATTTAATTTATATTCAAAAGTAATTCAAAAGAGATAGAACCTCCACTAGGATGGAACATATACAAAGACACACAATATATGGTACAAACTTGCATTGAACTGTCGTCATAAAGCTTAAGGCCCCATTCCCGGCAACGAACCCATGTCAGAGAGAGAGAGAGAGGGGGGGGGGGGCTCTCTCCAGAGAAATACAATTCGTCAGACTATAAAGATAGATTAGGGGTCTAAATAGATATTCAAAATCTTTGATTGTTGGAGCTCTCCCATCCTCCGCAGATTCTGAGCGGCCTTAGCCCGCTCCCATTTGGTAACATCGCCACCCCAACCCCTCCAATGAAATCGCTCTCCCTCACGTCGAGCAAATCTTGGCGCCATCACTTTTGTATTGTGATGATGATTTTAACAAGCAAGAAATAAGGTCATCAATAGTCTTCTTTTGGCAAAATACTTAAATCAATCTTATGATTTCAATAACTGTGTTCTTAGTGTAGTGAGATCAAAATTAGAATTTGAAATGGCCAAAAGAGGCGTAACCATCCTTTTCCTGACCTTTTTCAACCAGCCTTACTTTAACGTTAACTTTAAGGCATATATCAGAAGTTGCTGGGAGGATACCCATCCAGGCATAGCTTTGGTACAGTACTTAACTTTGGATCATAATCCATAATCAGGAGCTAGGGGTGCGCGAGGAGCCCCTACCCCACCGACAAAAAAGCTCCCCCCACCCACGCCATTAAAATGACCGAAGCAAAAAAAAATTATGCTCAAGTATAGTAAAAAAAAAAATCAGTTCATCTTACCTTATTTTGCGACCTAGAGCCCCTCACTTATCATCAAACCTTAAACTAACTCAAAACTATTATCGAATTTGAATTACTGATTGATTAAATTTATTTTCAATCAAGCGCTGCAAACGAAAAGATAATTAAATGTGCAACAAACAATAATTAAAGGATAGCCACTAAAAGTAACTTATTTCCAGACTAATAATTAATTTCCTGACTAAATACATTATTTCATTATATTTTTAATGCATCAGGTTTGCAACTCAACACAGCCAGTCTCTTTAACTTTGATCCTGATGAGCTAAAAAAAAAAAACTTAGTTTGATTGGAGTGCGAACATTCCTCTATACATTGTTGTTAATTTTAAAGACCTTTAAATTGGCTTGTAATAAAATTTACTAACGATACCTAAAACGTCTTTAATGGCAATAATACCGACATTATAGTAAAAAGTGTTGAAATGTAAAACTGAATTCTACAACTAAAAAAAACTATGAAAAAATATTAATCAAATATATTTATTTTATTTGTTGAATTCAACAACAATTGAAAAAAGCCAGAGGATCCACTAATTAGTGTTAAATAAAACAAAACGACAGTAACTCCGAAAAGAGACAGAGACATTTTGAGATTCAACGTTTCGATCTATTTGATAATTTTCAAGAATACTAAATTAAAAAAAAGATTATTACACTTTTCCATTCAATATCAACATTTAACAAATCCATACAAACGTAAACACATCTAATGCATATCACTATGGATGGATGTATGAACTAACAATCTAAAACAAACACAGATATACAGATATGTAAGTTAACCCTGTACATAATATTTATATGTTTTTGGCCCTACTTGAGATGTGATGAAGTCCATACTAATTTTATACTCGTTGAACAATTACCATATTTTTCATATCAAAAACCTAGTAGCAGCTGATATGCTAACTATAAAAACATTATCGATTAACATTATCGATTATATATATTCACGATGAGAAAGAGGACAGAACGAAATATTCGTGTGCAATAAAATACTTATGTTCCTCCAATACGTCAACGGTGATTTTATCAATGTCATTATTATTATTATTATTATTATTATATATATATCTGTCTCTTATTTAACGTTAAAAATTACATATAGGCCTATTGGTTATGTTACGGCAATACAATGACTGATATAAAACATATTTTACAGTTTTAAAACATCAAAGCATGCTGCAAATAAAACAAAAAGAAAACACACATCAAACCATCTTAAATTCGTTTTATATTGACATACTACTAGTACCGTAACTCTTAGCAGCCTTCTTCAACACGGGATGCGGAAGACACTGACCAGGCCTACTAAAATACCAAAGTATGGAATGGATGTATGAATTTGTGTATGCAGGTGGTATGTATGTCGGTTTTATATAATATATATATAATACGTGACCGTAAATTACTCTGTGCCTAATTGTCCAGACATTGTACGTCAGGTCGTCGTTTCCGAATTTCTCTGACCACAATATCGCAGCGTTCTCTGCGGTCCAACACGGTAATCGGTGTGTACGGAATATTGAGTTCACGTAGAATTGCAATCATTGTCTCAGTATAAGCCATTAGCTCCTCCATTGTTGGCGCAAGTCTAATCCCATCTTCTTCAATACATTCTTTCTGGGGGTACACGGCAAATATAATTGAGTTTCTGTACCTGTAACAAACATAGGCCTACAATGTATAAATAATAATGTTAATAATAATATTTATTATTATCATTATTATTATTATTATTATTATTATTATTATTATTATCATTATATTATCATAATTAGAAAATTAATAACAAAAATAATATATCAATAAACAGTAATAATAATAGCAATAACAACAAGAATAATATTGCTCTGACCGCCATTAGGAGAATGATAAAAGATGACTTCTGTTGGCCTAAAGATTGGTGAAGGTTATCATAGTTAATGATCCATGTTTTATGTTAAATGATGAAGACTGGTTGGTTGATGGGAGAAAGCCAGGCAGTTTCCATTGCATTGCATCACTATTTAAAAAACATATTTTAAGATTAACTTGCTATATCAACTTGTGGAGTAAAGGTAAGAGTTAACAATAATCAAAATGTGACCGTTCTTTCGCAATTTAAGCAACTAAACCCGACAGGCTCATATACAGGTTACCATTCAATAACAATGAAGCAAACACAAGGTGCTGCCATGGTTCTCCGCGGTCTTCGATCATCGCCAATACCTTTATGGAAGAAAAATAACGAATTGCCTTCTACTAATAATACTTAATAGCACCAACCGAAATTACGTCGATGTTATACCTTTATGTCACAATAAAACCGTGATCATCTGGAGGAATTCCTACAATATCTAATGCACTATCATCTTTACTATGAAACAGAATTAGATTGATCTATCCGATTTTGGACGTACTTGTAATTAGCAACTCTCCAACGCACCACCGTATAGTTACACCGATCGTTATCCTTATCAACGTTCATTTCACCACCAGCAATCAAGCAATCTGCAAAACACTCCAAATAAAAGAGCTCCTCATTCTCAGTGACAAATCAAACCTGGAACAATAACTACAGCACATCCGATCTACTCTTGCTCTCGATGGATACCACCACTGTAAGATCAACCCCAACCCACCAGCCACTAACCCAGTTCAGGCCAGGGGTGTCTATAAAACGAAGACCGAAGACCCCTATTTTTTCTCTTTTATTTTGATGATAATAGGCCTACACCAGGCTATCACAAATTCAAAATTTCGAATTTTTTTGGGCGTCTTTTTGTGAAATTTTCAAGGGTCTTCGTTTTAATAACACCCTATGGGTGTCTACAAAATGAAGACCGAAGACCCGAAAAACGAAGACCTCCAATTATTTCTCAATAATCTTGTTGAAAGTATTTCAAAATCATCATAAACAGTTGCCAAGTACCTATTTCATTATTTCATCGGAATAAAATTAGGAATATCAAGAAATACTAAGGGTCTTCGTTTTATAGACACCCTATGGGTCTACAAAATGAAGACCGAAGACCCGAAAAACGAAGACCCACGGGTTTTTCTCTTTCTTAAAATGATACTACACCAGGCTGTCACAAAATCATAATTACGAGATTATTTTCATCACGATTGAAAGAGAAAATGTGGGTCTTCGTTTTTCGGGTCCCATATAGGGTGTCTATAAAACGAAGACCCTTAATTATCTCATCCATCCCATTTTGGTGCCACTACCAAATGACTGATGCTGCATATAGGCCCATGCGTCACTATACAACATTCCTACTGTTTATTTTAACATGAAACAAGTTTATGAATGAAATATTCAAGATTGTTGTAGGCCCCCAAAATACGGGTACCGCTATGCCAAGCCTTACTTTCGTTTAGAGAGTAGCAGCGCCACGACGCGCTTTGCCGCCAGCGCCGTGGGCGTACAACATTGGCTGCCGCTTTGGAACTGTAGTAATAAATAGTAAATCATTAAATTGATTGATAAATTCAGGCAATAATGTGCTAAAAAGACGAATACTATAGATATATACAAAGCATGAAGTGATTTAAAGACATTATTTTTATCACGATTGAGAGTAAAAAATATGGGTTTTCGTTTTTCGATACTTCGGTCTTTGTTTTGTAGACCCTTGATAATTTCACTAACGAAAGTTCAAATAGCCTCATAATTATGATTTTATGACAGCCTGGTGTAATATCATTTAAAAAAAAAAGAGAAACAAATGTGGGTTTTCATTTTTCGGGTCTTCGGTCTTCGTTTTGTAGACACTCTTGGGTGTCTATAACAGACGCCCAAAAAAATTCCTAATTTTGATTTTGTAATAGTCTGGTGTATTATCATCAAAATAAAAGAGAAAAAATAGGGGTCTTCGTTTTGGGGTCTTCGGTCTTCGTTTTATAGACACCCGTTCAGCCTGGACCATTCAAGACGGTAGTATTGCCTATACATGGCTCCATTTTCATCAAATTCAGCGCATTCGAAACTCAGCCAATATCAATGTTCACCACAGTTTACCGGTAGGCCTACTTAAACTTCAGGGAAACACACAAAGACAAACCATCACAGAATAATCACCCTAGGGTATACAGGATTCCGTGTGAATGTGACAAGTTCTATTAGGCCCCTAATTATGAGACCGGAGAGACCTCAACGCCAGACCCAAGGAACATCGAGGATGGAAGAGGAGAATACACCATTCATAAATTATTCTACACTCATACAAGGAAAATCATAACATTCATTGGCAGGAAAAGTTAATTGCTCCAGTGCCTACTTTGCATTGCACTTCAGACGCACGGGGAAGCAATAACATACAGTTCCGGAAGATATTCGATTCATATTAGTGATACAAGGCTGTCATTATTTAAGTTATTTTTTTCTACACTTCCATATTTCCCGCCAATTAAAGTATTGGATACAGTTTATTTGTTATATGTAATATTGTGAGTTAGTATTTCATTGTTATGGAATTGTAACCTGTAAGAGCCTGCCGGGTTTAGTCGCTTAAGATAGTATAATACCGAAATGCACACCATCGTGTCGGGATTAATGTCGAAATATTGAATCCCGACACGATGATGTGCATTTCAATACTTGGAGTATGTAGGGCCTATTATACTATCTTAGCCGTTTAAATTGCGAAAGAACGGTCACATTTTGCTTATTGTTAACCCATTTACTTGTTTGCAAAGTTAATGTTCACAGTTTACTACATAAGTTGGTACAGCAAGTTAAGCTTTATTATAAGATTTTTAAAATACAGTAGTAATAAATTACAATGGAAACTGCCTGGCTTCCTCCCTTGAATCAACCAGTCTTCACACTTTTCTTCGTTTTAACATAACAAATGTAATGAGCTGCTCCGCGTACTTTGCATTAAAATCGATGGAACATTCGCCCTCCTGCGGTTGCAGTAAAATTTGAACATTTTACTAAGTGGAGAAATAAAGGAAACAAGCGAACAAGAGCAGCGCCTTTATTATTTTTATATAGCGCCGCCGCGCGGTTGCAGTAAAATTGCTCTCCGTGTACCCACAATGCCTTTTGAACGGATGTTCCACTATATTGGGAAGCTGCTCACATCTAGATGTGTATAAGAGACAGCTTCAACACGGGATGCGGAAGACACTGACCAGGCCTACTAAAATACCAAAGTATGGAATGGATGTATGAATTTGTGTATGCAGGTGGTATGTATGTCGGTTTTATATAATATATATATAATACGTGACCGTAAATTACTCTGTGCCTAATTGTCCAGACATTGTACGTCAGGTCGTCGTTTCCGAATTTCGCGGATTCAGGAATTCGAAATAGAGTGGGCCATGGAAAGACTTTCAGATTTGGGGTCTAACACATCAGTCCCACCATAGTAGGGGCTGAGGTAAGAAAATGATTATAGCACCTAAAATGGCCAGAAATTTCACTCTCAAAGACATAAATTTGAATATAATTTTCTGTGTGTATTAAAACTATATATTTCTTGCTCTGATTTTTGTCATGGCGAACGGTGCGAAGGTCTAAGCTGCGCCTGCTGTATCAGGATTATTTCCAAACGAGAATAAAGTTTTATTGAAACCTAGAATGAAGATGAGTTTGTATGCCGTGAGTCATTGACAAGCGGTAGGGAAAAAACACTCAAATTCCTCAAAAAGCTTATATAAATACAGTTAAAAGTCGGGTTTTTTTTGTACGACAAATTAGGGGTGGGGGGCATAGTTGGAAACTGCTCTAATGGCAACAGCGGCGGAAGCGGGTGTGGGGGCAGGGGCCATTGGCCCTCCCACTTTTTCTACTGGGAGGGAAATATGAAGTCATATTACAGTGTCTTGATGCCTATAAAATAACTTTAAAAAATTCACCAAACTTCGAAAAATATGCGTAGCTTCCAGGGCGTATTCCATATTTGGTATTATTATATCCCATGATGCATTGCATGGTGAATAAAGTTTAGTTTCCATCTTGATTTCCAACCTGGTCTCTTGTGTGTTATTTCTATGTGCAATTAATAGTTGCATATCTTGGTTCATTAGAGTTTATACCTTGGACCCCCCACCGTTAGTAAGTAGTGGCATAACGAGCTCTCGGGGGACGCAGCCCTGGGTATGGGTCCCTTCTTAAACAATAACAGTGTTGTTATCGAAAATAACCATGGCTTGGACATGGAGAAAATATATCCCTTATTTTCTGGACTTTGTTTTCTTGTCTTCATTTTTCTGGCGAGAGGGATCAGCAGCTAACCCCCGCTGCTTCCGGGCGAAGGATTGAATGATTGTTTGATTCTTATTTATACTGTATTGCCAAAGCATCATTGGGAAAATCAATACATTCATGCTTATGCATGTCACCTATATGCACGGACACAAATGATGATTTATACTAGAGTCAAGAATTCGTTGCACGAAAATATTCATTTTAAAAATGAAAATAATGTGTGTAAAATATTATTTGATTTTTTTGACATTGCGTCTTTTCAGCCTTAACAATTATAAACCTGGATGGCGTGGATAATTTCTAGGGAGATTATCCACGCCGGAGAATTCGTGAGCGAAAATATTTTATTAATATACAAGGGGCCCCAACATTTTCTCAGGCACAAAGACTCGTCGTTACGCCACTGCTTGTAAGACGAGTACGGTACTGTATATTGGTTAGAAATTCCTAATGAAAAGTGCTGGTATTATTAAATTGCTTATTGTATTATATTATTGCATTAGGAAATTACTGAAATTAACAGACATTAGAAGGCTCGCGTTTGACAACTATAACAAAAATATATAGTAATTCTAGCTATACATGAATTCAGCCACTTTCATCTTCATCAGATACCTGATAGGCATGTTTATCTCCAGCAAGGAACAAAAACAGTGGCGTTTGTGGGGTTTGAAAGGCGTATTATTCGAATATTACATTCTGTAGAAATAAAAATTATTTTTCCGGCTAAATTTTTTTTTCTCTCACTAAGAGGTAGCCCTACACCGTCATCTCTTCCCTCCCACTGGCAGCGCCACTGTTTTGAAGTCAAATACGGGAAATTTAAAAAAAAATTATTTTAATAATTACTTGAAATTGTTCGAACACCTCTGGCCTGGTGTTTGGATCTCGATCTTCCAGCCCCAACTTGTGACTTCGAATTAGCCTCCTCGCAATCTCTTCCTCGAAGTGCAGTGGAATCTCCTTTGCAACATCCTGAATTATAGTAGTCTTTCCAGTACTGTGTGCGCCACACATAAACACACTCAAAATAGGCCGGCTTTCTTGCAACATAATATATCCTATTGTTGATCACTGGTGACAAAACTTCGGTTGTAGGCTTTTGCCTAATGTAGGCCTAATAAGCGTGTAGACAAACAATATTAGTTTCCAGGTCCCTTGATATGGCAGTAGAATTTTTATCTGATAAATTATCGTTTTACTAGGCCTACTGTAGATCTGTCGATGAATGAATACCTTGTTGAGATGATTTTACCACCAGTTGAAACAAACTACAGTAGGCCTGTCACTATCGATTATGTTTTGTCCTGAATAAACGACATTGTGAATTTATTTATGCATGGGAGTATGTATAAAGGATCAATGAATGATTTCATTGTACCATGGTGATTCATAACGAACAAAGGTTGGGAAATTCCCAATGATGAAAAAAAACCACAAACAAACAGCCGATGATTCGCAAAGCTGATTGGCTGACAACCCAAGTGATAAGGATGGAAGAAGAGTCCAACAACTGACTATTTGCTTTCATTTTCGTTTAATATATATCCTGTACAATTAATGTTAACAAAATATGATATGATATATCAATGAGTATTTAAACGCTGTGCTTCTTTTACATTACTTTGTGTTGTAGCCTAATCTACATATGCATACAGTATTTTGATTTTAGCTTTTAATGTTACTATCGATCAAAGCCTAATCCCAGATCATAGCCAAAGATCATTCCACCCATGCATTAAAATATAACATATTAAAATATAATAAGCTTAAAGAGTGGTCTTTTCAAACATTATCTTGGACTTCTAAAATACACATTTTTTTAAAGGAAATGGGAGGAAAAAAAAAAACAATAATGTAAACACATCACGTCGGGCAACCATAGACCCTCCAATAAAACACAACCTACGCGTTACGTATAGTTGTCTCAGATCCAATGTTACAAAATGGAACACGTTATAGACAATACCTAACGGTGCATCCAAATATTATGAAGTCAATTCACTATTTCGTCGGGGACACCGCTTTTTAAGAAGTATTCCAAGCCTAAAGCAGTCTGAGAATTTGCCCAAACACGGTGGGGCTGCCGGGTCATTTTAGTCCTGCTTTCGGGAAACTTGTCCTCTAGTCAGATAATTTTGGACTCCTACCCAAAATCGGAGACCATGGTCCTTTCGTTTGAGAATTTCTGGCTTCGCCACAGTATATACGTTTTCCTTAAATCGAATGTTAAAACATTATTCATTAGTATAAATTTCACTCCAAAAATTGACAAGGCCATTTTATCCTACGTTTTCGCTTTTATTTAAGCATAATCAGGAATAATGTCCTTGTCAATTTTTGGAGTGACCTTCATACTATTTGTACTTCAAATCACTGCACATCCTAATTATTCATTTGGCCTAATATTACACTGACGCTGTTTTATATGATCCACGACGATTTTGCATCGTTTACTTCGATCTAACACGGTTACCGGAATGTATTCAATTTTGAAATCCTTTAGGATCTGGATTAGTATTTCAGTGAATCGTGTAAGTTCATTCCAGACTGGTGTGATTCGCTTGCCGTCCACGTTCATACATTGTCTGTGAGGATACACCACAAATATACAAGAATTTTTGAACCTGTAAGTATGCAAAAAAAAAAAAAACACCACAATATTTACTCATGTTTTTAGCGTTTTCCAGGCATGAAGCATGGTTTCCATAAAATCTCTAACAAATGCAATCGGGGGAGGCTCTATGATTAATCACCAACCGACCAGCTGTCAGTCATAGTATGTCGCGATTTTATGGAATTAATCTTCAGCCTATTTTGGAACTATCACTTTAAAGTACTTATATGGGCTATTACAATGTTGTTATTTTGGATATGTGACATCCATAGATAAATTCAAACGTTATTCGCTTCCTTTTTAGGGAGTACATGACATAAAGTGTACAGCTTTGCTTAACACAGTGCAAAAGCAGTTGTGCTGTAAATATTGTCTAGAGCAAGCAGAATGGCTGTAAAATATTTGGTATGAATATTATGAAGAAAGAATAGGTCTAAATGTTTTTGTAAATGTAAAATTTCAAAAATATAAAAATGATTGTGGCATCACTTACATCAATTATCAGAATAGGCCTATATTTTCTTTTATTCTAAAATAATATATATATATATATATATATATATATATATATATATATACTGTATATATATATACCTGTCTCTTATACAACGATGTTTTCCATTTTGCACTTGTTATTTGCGCATGAGCAAGACACTCACATAGGTTTAGAAGAGGCGTTAGTCAAGGAATTTATTATAATTAAATTGTTTCGAGAAATTATTACTCAATATTTTGTCTCAAATTTAAATTTTAATAATAAACACGTAAAAGACCATTGTTCAGTAATTAACAGTGAACTGAATAATTGATTTACTGTTTGTTGCATCATTACAGGGTACATCGGTGCTCGGAGCTCCGGTTTTATGATGTCAGATGCATCACTCCACTGTGCTGCACTTTTGTTTATTTGTTTGTTTGTTTATTTATTTGAACGTACACTTTCGTTACACACAGAGTGGATACGTAGGCCTTTTGAAGTGAATACATTGGCCTACCGACAGGTCAAGAGTTTACCTTTGTATACACTCCTGCGTGATGGGTAATGCCAGTAGCGATTTTTTGGCCTCATCACCGAGATACAATGCTGCATACACGATCGGATCAATTCCTCTGTCTGCAATGTAATCTTCTCCATTATTTGCGTTTTGTCTGTCCACTTCACATTGGTTTTCCAAGATTAATCGCTTTACAAAAAACAGAGAATAATGGGCGTGTCAAATCAGGTCATTTTAGTACAGTACATAGACCCATTAGATAATTCATTCATTTCCCATTCTCAGTTTTAACTCTAGTAAAACTGCCTTATAATCAACCATCAAAAACATCTACTGGCCAAACGCAAAACATGGTGAATTTAGACAAATCTTCATTTTTGTAGGCTTATAGGGGCCTATGTTTTTGTAACAAATAAAAACACTTTATGTACATGGAGGTTAGTGAAACCATATGAATTTGTAGGTTGTAATTGAATTTTATGTAAAGCATTTATATTTTTATTAGTCAAAACGTTGCTTCGAAATGACATCAGCAATTCCTACTTCTACACTTACAGGCGTACGCCTAATAGTACTTTGTACTAGCACTGTATTGGCCTAATCCCGATAGACAAGAGTTGGCATGCATTATGCCTACCTGCAAGTTTTCGAACTCTCCTGGATAGTTTTTATAATCAATAGCTCTGTGTCTTTCTTCTGCACTCATTCTATCTAGTACATTTCTTGCTATCTCTGACTCTTGTTTGATGCCTTGTAGTTCCTTCCCGACATCGCCAAGCAGTGTCGTCTTACCTGTGCTATGTGCACCGCACAAGTAAACACGAAGTAACTGTTTGTGTTTCTCCATTAACTTTATAGAAATTAAACGATGTGACATCAAGTAATTGCAAGGTTAAATACCTTAATTGGGTTTCTGAATGACAGATGGTCTGACCCAAATTAACATTAACAAAAATTGATGCGCCGACGTTCTACAGTTTGGGAAATCCCGAACGACGTCATATACAGTGAATAGCAACAATGGAAACTCAACGGTCAAAAATATCGGACAGTACTGTATATTAAAACTAGAGACCGCTGCACAGGTTCTCGTCACATTAATCCCTCGAAAAGAAATACGAGTAATACGTTTTGTCTGTTCAAACATATAATTGAATATTAATATTACCAATTTGAAATGTATCCAAAATGTGCATACAATGCAGTAATCAGGCGGATATAGTGATATGCTTAGGGAATGCCATTTCACGTCGGAAATGGGCGTATCACTACATTTCAATGAAGTATAAATGTATACAGTATTTTCAATGAAAATTCCAACCTGTTACACCATGTCTGTCAGGCAACTGCTGGCTGATGGCCTCCTCAAACTCTATTACGGTCTATTCTTTGCCAGATTTGCCTTGTTCACACCAGGCTAATGAAAAGGATCACTCCAGCTCTAGTTTGGTCTTTCTCTTTTTTTTCCGTTTTTTTTTTAAATACTGATAATACACTTTAAATAATAGGGCTGTGCCAATCCCAAAATTAAAACTGTTCACATCACAATAAAAATGTCCACACCACATTTTACAATTCACAACGATTATCTTCCTATCAAAATTGAATATATTTATTTACTTCAACATTTACTATTTTGATAATTGTTATCTTTAGGTTTAAGGAGTGAGGTCCCTAAAGTCATGAGAAAAACTTGAAATGCCAAGATTTGAACCTAGAACATCAGAATTGGAAAACAAACATCTTTACCACACAACGATACAGCATCACTGTATCTCATCTTAATTATGTAAGAATGAACTTTATTATTATTATTATTATTATCATTATTATTATTATTATTATTATTATTATTATTATTATTATAATTATATTTTATTTATTAAAATCAACAAGAGAAAGCAACAGAAATATACAAAGCAGTACAGTACAGTACCTGCAATGCACGTTTGTATTTGAAGTGGAAAAGCAGAATATTTGACCTTTGACATATAGTATTGACATATAGTAGACCTGAGTGGTTATTGTGATGGTGTTAACAACAATTAAGTGTTGTGTGAACAACCACTGAGGCTTACTATAGACATGGAGGAAATATAATATATACAATATATATCCTCCATGCTATAGACAAATAGCTACAAACTAATAAAGCAAAGAACATCAGTCAAAGTAATGGAATGAGAATTATTTAATTTCCACAAATATGATTCATTTAATTTTAAGAGAAAATATATTAATGATCATGGTAGCATTTTCATTTTTTTTTTCATTTTCAAAAGGCATTTATTTACTTCCATAGGACACACAAAATATACAACTCAAGATTGTATGATTCAAGAAAAAGACGAAAACAAGCTATGGAAGAAGGCATGATCCCGAGAAGATAAAGATCATGTGTTGGGCATTGCCTTAAAAGAAATAAACAAACAAATGAGTAAATAAATAACAACAGTTTCCATTCATTATGCCTATTCTTACCCCCTCCCCCACCCTCAAGAAATGATTTGGAAAAGTCCAGCTTGGCATCATACCGGTGGTCTATTTTATTTCAACTAAACAGTACTGTACAATATTAATAAATACTTGGAATACCAATTTTGCTGGTCAATATATGTCAGCTCTCTGCTACCTTGCAGGTTGTTTAGTCTTTCCCTTTGGTATCATATCAAAGCTTATCTTCACCTTAGCTTTTACATGTACAGTAGTATTTGCAATTCTTTGCTGTGTTGTGAATGATTCTCCTAGACCCTCAACTGGAAGAGGTATTGCGGATCCAGATGGGCCTTCCCATTCCTTTATATACTCCTCTGTGATCCTACTGGGTTGTCCGACAATTTGACCGAGGAGGATACCGATATCAGCAGCCTTCTGACGACAGTTGGCGACAGCATGCATACAGACTTGTTTCCTGAGGTTAGAAAATTTAAATTCATAATATTTATCGAAATGAATCATGTTACTGTAAGTCTACTGATAGCATGAACGTCACTCCAAAAATTGATAAGGCCATTTTTATTCAACGTTTTGCTTTTATTTAAGCATCATCAGAAATAATACTCTTTGTATTATATGTACTATTCCTGATGATGCTTAAATTAAAGTAAAACATTGAATAAAATGTTGTTACTGTATTATTAATTATCTTTTTTTTTTTACTCTGCAATCAAAGGAAGTTAATTTCTAATTTTATCATGTTATATTTTTTACCAATAAATTACTTTGACTTTAATTATTTAGTTTTATTTTAAATATGATATCATGTATTCACCTTAACTCCTCAATGCTCTGTGGTGTATGATGGAATTCAGGTTGCTGTACAACAACTGATTCATCCAACTTCTCTACGAGTAAATTTGTAACTGCCAAGCACTTCTCTAAATCGATGAACGTAACCAATAGCTCAGTATGCATTACATAGAGTCCGTCCTTTCTCCTTAATGAATCTGTTCTTGCAACATCTCCTTCCTATCAAGAAATTTCAGATTTTGAGTGGGAATAGATCAGTTAGTAGTAGAACTTACGTTATATATTTGCACCTCTATTTACTTGATTAAATGTTACTCAATTAATTATTTCAGTTTAGGTATGCATATTAATACTACTTTATGCAACTTTGGTAGAAATACCTATAAATGAATAATACTAGGCTTAGTTAGGCCAATGCCTTTAATTCTTTAATTTTACATTTCATTCCAAGCAAGTGTACAGTCGGTACTGAAGCTTAGGCCTAGGCCTACACCAATTTTGCATACACATCACATAGCTTTAAGTTTTAATTCTATCAAGTACTAGTAAGTAGCAAGCTTACCTTTACTTGAAATGTATGAAGAGTTTGAAGAATATAATCGGTTCGTCTTGCTACACTGTTTTTAGCGTCGGCAACGATCTGTTTTTGGCTGGAGACTATCACGGTAATAACAGCTCGATTCGGTGCCTGGCTGGCCTCTGCGGTGGCTGTAACCTCAATTTCACTTAATCTCGGCCTAGGCCTAACCCTATTGCTGCTTTCCAAGTCACTACACTGTGTATTTGGATCATCTAAGAAAGATGCATACACTCTAGATGGCTTAAATGACATGCTACGCAAGTGAAAACCAATATATGTTAATATAGACCTAGACTAACATCCATTACATTAGCAACACAACCCATTTCAAGCGAACCGCCATTTCACCGCCACTCTCCTGTTGATATTTCTCTTGTGTATTCTACTGTCAACTGATGCAAAACTTGCGTCGACTCATGTCAATTCGCGTCATTCTTCACAATGCTAAGTTAAGATAATTATAACTCCATGGTTAAGAGAAATCCGGGAAGGAATCATATTACCAACATCTCTAATATTTTAGGGTCTGGAGGGGAGGCGGGGCGCGGGAATACAACAATAATGATTAAATTAAAAATAAAGACACGTGGCGATGTCTCCTACGTAAACGTCAATATTTCCTTTTTAGTTTTAAGAATTTGGTATCCGGTATGAATTATGTAACGCAATATACACGATGAAACACGACTGCGCAGACGAAAGCCGAACGAGCAAGTACAGTCAAGAGTAAAGTGAGAGAGGTTTATTGTCATTGAACGAACTGGATGTTAGGCCAACTTGCTTTGTATAATTTACTATTTGTAGATGTGTTCTGATGCCATTCGTAGTTTGTGGTTTATATGATTTTAGAGTTTTGTTATGAGTTCTATTGATTTGTCGAAATTTAGGTACCAGAATAATAAGAATAAGCTCAGTGATTCCACCGTAGGCCTACCGTCACCAACTGATGACAAGAAGTTAGAGGAGTCTGCGTCTGTCTCTTCTTATGATGGTAGATCAGCCTTAGAGCATCTAACTCCAAAGAAGTCCAAAACCGGCTTTTTTCTTACTGGTCAGTGGTTAGTCGAAACTAAATAATAGAGTGAATCACTAATTTAAAATTAATAAAATAAAAAAGCAAAAATGATGAAATAGGCCTACCTAGGCCTAGGTCTATAATATAGTATTAATTAACCTACCTATCTAATAGTAATTACCAGGGCTATTCTGAGCCCTTGCCCTGGTTATTGTTAAAGACTGGTGTAACATAACAACAATCACTGCTTACTAACTGTATTTGATCGGTATATATGTATATAATTCTATTTTGTCATTGTTGTAATGTGACAGCAGTAAATTAGAGTGTGGTGTGTCCTCCAATATTGAAAGTATTGCTTAATTATTTCAATTATTTGATTTAATCATTTCAAATGTCGCCAAAGTCAAACATATCCTCATATCATCAATATACAATGTTGACAATTAATGTACTTCGTAAAGTCGGACATAAGCTTATGAAGTTATGGGAAATTTACAGGCAACCTAATTAATATCTCTTTTCCTTGTAGATATAACCTGTATTCCAGAAACACCGGAACAGTCAGTAGAGGAAGGATCCCCAAGTCCAGTGTTTGACAAAGGAAAAGCAATTCCTTGTAGGCGGAGGTCTGAATCAACAATAACCACTAACCAAATGAATTCTCTATCTGACCAGGAATCTGATAACAGTGACCAATCGTATGCATTATTATTATTAATTTGTTATATTAAAATATACAAAATATTAACTTGTTATATTACATAAAAATGTGTATTGATTTGAAAATTGTATTTTAATATGTATTGTTTCCTTCCTCATTTTGAACTAACACATACTGTAACATAAAAATTATAAACTTGAGTATAGAAATAGTGAATTTCCTAAGTGTTTACCTTGATTTTACACCACATGTTAATAAAACAGAAATCCTTACATTCACTGGAATATTTATGATTTTTTTGCAGGAATATTTGCTTAATACATTAATGTCAATTTTAAATTTCATATTTTTGTTTTCAGGGGACAATACATCTTAACACGTTTTATTAAACCAAAAACACTTGTGTAGCCTGCCGCATATGCTCAAGCAACCCAAAACTCAAAAATCTAGAATCTATCATATGTTTTTTAAAGGAGCCCAATGTTTCAAAAGCCCATAAATTTGACTTTAACCTGGATTTTGGTCCTGTTGTTATGACTATAGCAAACAAATTACATGTGTGGTGATGACAATAGTAGAAGAAGAATATTGCTGACTGAGTGACTCCCCTCCCCCTATTTTGAAATGTAACTGTACATGGGCAACACATGTTTCTTTGGCCATATGATCATCATATCAGTATTATAAGTAAATGATTATTTAACATTACTGTAATTTTATGAAAGCATGTAAATGGCTTATAATAAATCATAATGCAGCTTATGATTTATTTAAATTTTTTAAACATTATTTTGAAGTTCCGCCAACTCCAAGGATGAATCTGATAATGAATATTTAGAGAATGAAGTCAGTGAGACATTCCCACCCGTTCAAAGACAGCTAAATAAAAAGGGCAGGATACTATCGTCAGATGAGGACTGCAGGATACTATCATCAGATGTGGACTCTACAAAGCAGTCTGATGATGAAGTGGAACAACAGACAATAAAAGAGGATGATGGTGGGCAGCTTAGAACCTGTGCTAAGAGAAAGATGAGACTACTTAGCGAATCAGCAGAAGAATCTGATGATGGAAAGGTCAACAAACAGGATGAAGAACCAGAGGAAGAACAAGATAAAGAAACGGAGGATGAACTGGGTAATGACACAGAGGATGACGTTGATGTAACAGAAAAAATTGATGAGCAGGATTTGTTAGCTCAGATGGTAGATGTTTTTCCTCACCGAAGCAAGAAGGTATAAAGCAAGACATTGTGATTGTGCTTGATGGATGATGGGGTACCCAGCATGTAAATGTATATTTTTTAAAACTAAGCTGAAAATGATGGTGATGAAATTTGATGATGTTGCTGGGACAGTGGTGGTGATAATATTGGTGTGGTGGTAATAATGGTGATGATTGTAGTGTCAATAAACTGATAATGGTTATGATTCGAGTGTGGTGATGGTGGGTGGTAATGATAATGATGGTGGTTGTGGTGATGATGTTGTTGATGGTTTTGTTAATGGTAGTGGTGGTGCTAGTGTTAATGGTGATGTTGGTATTCATGATGATGGTTTTGTTAAGAACTTACTGTAGGTTGTAAAGAATTGAGAGATTTTCTGTAAACATTGATCAAGTGATTACTTAATATTAATGTTACTACCCTGTAGGCTCTTCGTGCATCTCTTGTTAAAAACAACTGGTGTGTGTGTGATGCAGTTGCCACAATGTTTGAAAACAGATCATCAGACGATACAGGTAGAACAATCAGGCAGTCAATCAATTAATCAATCAATCAATCAATCAGTCAATCATGTATTGTATGCACTGACAAATATACTAATCTAGGCTCAAGTGTACAGGCTGTTCGATGAAATATTAAGATATTGCACAATAATGTTGTCAAATTTTGATGATAGACAATGCTTATAATGCTTTAGCTAAGAATGCCAAGATGATGCCAAGGCCTAGCTGGTCATTTTACTCACTATTAATAATAATAATAATACAAGAATTTATGAAGACCCTTTTGGCAAGGCATAAAGTGGTGTGTTACTCATACAAAAGCAGTGAGGAGTAACTAGCATTTATAAATCTCCTGGTACTCTTCAACATCTCCTAACTATATTGAAATAATTTCTTTTAGATGGAAGTCTACCGGAACCATTTGAAAAGAAAACATCTCGATCAAACTCCAACTCCAGTAGATGGATCAGGAAAGCAGACTTTCGTTCTGTTGCTAAACCAAACAGATCAGATGGTGATCATGTAACAAACGGAAAAACTAAGAAGATAAAAAAGAGGCGTCGTATAGAAGTGAGTGACAGTTCTGAAAATGAGGAAATTGATAACCCAAGTAAGAAGAATAGAATTAATAAAAAGAAAACCAGAACAATCCAGTCAGACTCTGAAGAGGAGGTTTGCCTTCTGCCAAAAGAGCGCAGAAGTCACAGCAAAAAAAGAGCTGTTGCAAGACCAACTACTAACATAAAATGGAAGAAGAATTTGAATGGACATCTAGAGTCAAGTGGGGATGAGTCTGTTGAAGAGGAAGGGGATGTCTCCAGTGATGAGGAACTGGAAACTTTCTCTGAAGAGTTCAAAGTGAAGGTGGTTGATTTTTACAATAGTGCCTCAGTGGAGGAAATGACTAGTATTGAGGGGAGCTCAATGAAGAAGGCGGAACTGGTTGCTAGTATACGACCGTTTAATTCCTTTGAAGAATTAGTGAGTCACTTTTATTTCCATGCAATGTTTATGTAGGGGAAAATTAAAAAAAGTTTGATATTATTTAATACATACATCAATCTTCTATAAATAAAGTCGAATACATATACTCATTACATTACATCAGGGGTTATCACCTGGCGGTCCGCGGGCCATCTGCGGCCTGCAAGTGCGTGTTATGCGGCCCGTGAGAACAAGCCAAAAGGAATAATTTCCGTTAGGCATGGGCCTAGATTTCTAGCCTTAATAATTTTTGCATTCTGTTTTGCCGACTAGGCCTGTATATTGCCCCACAGATTGTAGCGATTTAATAAATCAAATCGAAAGAACTATAACAGCAAACAGCAAAGAAATCATAATACGCCAACTTTCGGACTTTCTCAGACTGTCGCTCACATGATGTTTCATGTCTAGCCAACCTAACATGATAGCATGGAGGAAAGAAACAGGGTTATCTCCCGTTACGTAACGTAGCGATAAAGTAGTGATTTACCGACTTTTTATAAGTGCGGTGTGTCACTCTGTTTGTTTGATCTTAGCATTGAGAGAACTCCTTCTGTTTCTTTCCTGCATGATGATAGCCTGTAGTGTGTAGTTCCATATACGGCTCTGTGTAACATCATTATTGTTGGAAGGTTTTGCTCACGCCTGAACTGAGTCCGAGAAAAGATGCCCTGTATAAGCATCTAGCGGCTTATATTTTCAAAAAATTTCCAATTTTACATCTCGTACCTGGTGCAAAGCTGTTGCGAGGTAAACCTCCTGCCCTTTCCCTTCAGATTTATACCTTGAACAAATTTGGCCCCTATTCTGATATACCTGTAGTTGAGAACATCTGCATTACATATAAAAATATTTATTAAAAACGTTCACAAAAGTGATGTTACTGCACAGGCATACAGAGACACATAATTTATATAGGCATACGTAAACACAATACTCCAGGTTGACAACAACAAAAATTAAATACATCTAAAATTATTTTTATAGCCATGTTGATCTAATTAGAATAATAATAATGATAATAATAAAAAAAAAATAATAATAATAATTAAAAAAAAATAATAATAATAATAATAGTATTATTATACCCGCTGCTTAATTGGACTCGAATTCAACCCTGGCCATCAGGCGCAAGCTCGGTGGTCTAGAGGTATGATGCCAGGCTAGTGATCTGGAGATCATGGGTTCGAGTCCCACCCGAGAACAACTTGCGATTTTTTCGCAATTGTTTTCAAACGTACTAAGTATTCAGTACATTTCCATGTCAGGTAGGGCAAACGTTACACCTATAAATAATAATAATTTAAAAAAAATAATAATATTAATAATAATAATAATTTTAAAAAAATAAATAAATAAAAAAAAAAATAATAATAATAAAAATAATAATAAATAAGTGGACAGACTAAGACATGTCAATTTTACAATGTTCGGATTTTTAGTCTTTCAAGTCATTGTTTTTCTTTATTGTGCTAATTTGTAAACAAAGTATTCTGTTTCAATCAACAATCTGTGATTTGAAGTTTGTTTTCTTTTTACTATTTGTATTGTAATAAAAAATATATTATTTATTAGATGATAGCAATGTCTTCTACGAGAAGCCTAGGAACACACCTTGTTGAAAATGCTGAGGATTTATTTACTCAAAGAGCAATGCTCGTGAGTTTGATGACAGAGTGCTCAAAGATTGCAGAGAATCTACAGGCTTTACTAGCAGATCAACTCCCCAGGAAAGACTCTGTGGATTTTGATGAAAAAACTAAATGCATGGTCAGGCAACCAAAGCTACTGCGTGAAGAGTAAGATAAGATTGAATATTATGATTAATGCTATCAATACTGTATTACCTAAATAATACTGTAATACCTAAACTCTATGTCTATAGTATAGGATGTGTCCGATGGGGGATCAAACCCACGACCTCCAGGTAACTAGCCTGATGTCTTAACCGCTAGACCACTGAGCTTGCGCTTGGTAGCTAGTGATGAATCTGATCCCCAATTAGCGGGTACTGCAATGTTATTCCGATGGCATATTTTCGTCGGCAGAAATTATACCAAATGATGTTTGCCCTACCTGACCATGTTTTTTTTGGCAAGCATTTGGGAATGTACTGAGCATGCAGTACTTATAACACATCAGGTAGGGCAAACATCATTTCGTATTTTGTTTGTTATCATGTTTTTTACTTGAATTATGTTTCTTTGTTTATTTAATTATGAATAACTTTTTTTCTAATAGTCCTCAGACTGAAATTTTAGAATCAAAAGTGCAATGTGGTAAAACAAATTAAAAAAAAAAAGAAATTGTAGAATCAAAAGTGCAATGTGGTAAAATAAATGTAAAAAAAAAAAAGAAATTGTAGAATCAAAAGTGCAATGTGGTAAAACAAATTTAAAAAAAAAAAAGAAATTGTAGAATCAAAAGGGCAATGTGGTAAAATAAATTTTTTTTTAAATAATCACTGAAGGGTTTCAATCATTTTCTGATCAAGTCTTGAATGTATGAAATTGGTTCATTACTACTTATGGAATAACAACATCCTATAAGCATGAGTATACACTCAACTCCTATTTAACCTTTAAGCAGTACTTAAGTGGGAGTACTAATGCAATATTTGATGGTAATACATGTGGCAGTTACAGTGGCAATAATTACAGTGCAAATGCCCTTTGTATCAGACCAGGGAGGCCCTGACCAGACTGATGTTTGCCAAGTCTTCTTACTTTATTATTGACTCATATTTTCCATACCATTATAGTCTAAAGTTGAAGGAGTACCAGGTGATGGGATTGAATTGGCTGCTCCTAATGGATCAACAAAATGTTAATGGAATCCTTGCTGATGAAATGGTGAGAAGCTAAATGATGATATGTTTTCAAATAGAATGATGATGCTGATGATAATAGTGGTGATTGATTGATTGATTGATTGACTGACATCATATATAAATGCAGTTTAATTCGAATTGTTTTATATTCCGTTTTTTTATGATGGTGATGATGATGATGATGGTGATGGTGATGAGAATTATGATAATGATAGTGGCGGTGGTGACAATGATGATGGTGCTACTATGTTTTCTCTTTTTCCATACAGTATAAAATGTAAAAATATTAAGAATCATTCCCGTTTCATAATGGTGTTAACATATTCATATTCATATTCAACATCTTCATCAAAAACATTTACATCTGTTTTTACCAACTTAATACCAATTTATTCATATCTTAGTGTACAGATGTTAATCACTGCATTTAATTTCTTGGTTTTATGAAGGGGCTTGGCAAGACTATTCAGACCATAGCGTTTCTTGCCCATCTTGTGGATTCGGGCAAGGTCGGGCCGCATGTCATTGTTGTTCCCTCATCAACATTAGGTATGATCAAATATTACTTTTCATTAAATATTTGTATATGGTTTACAATTGATTTATTAATATTTTAATTATTATTGTCTTTGTGTCTACTGCCCTCTCGGGTGCATAGAATCTTTATTGTCTGGCAGTTAACCCTGTAAGCGCGAATAAATGCGGTGGAAGTGCATGATGGGTACTACTACCACGAGGTAGGGGCGCCCTATTAGTACTACTACCACGAGGTCCGCTCAATAAACTTGCGTTTCAAACTCGAACATGCGTCATGGAGATGCAGCACGCATTCATTACGAACGTCTTTGATTGTATTTTGAAAGAACGCCCTCTAGAACCTGGTAGTACTTTTTGAGATACAGTGATGTACAGAAGAGGAAGTAGACACACGCTGCCGCTGGGAGCCTATTTTTTATGCTGTTAACAGTTCTGTGATAATGTATGAGTTGTGCATGTTTACAGACATGAGACAAGGGTATTTGCTACTTCACAGCCAAATGCAGGGATGAATGCTCAATGTGTTTTTAATAGCATGGGAAAATGAATCTAAGCACATTCAAATTATTATGTCCAAACTGCCACTTAAAATCAATCAAATCACATTGTTTTTATTTAACAGACAATTGGGCAAGAGAGTTGCATACCTGGACTCCATCTTTAGTTGTTTTGCTGTATTTTGGAATGGCCAGTGAGAGGGCAATGCTACGAAGGGAACTGTTAGGAGGAAGGAGGACCTGCAACATAATTGTCACAACGTAAGTTGATGAATCACAGATGACTAGTTTTAATAATACATTGTTATAAATAATGTAATTTAATGCATTATGATTAATCCACAAATTTTGTCCCAGTTTTTGATATGAGTTTGCTTTGCTATCAGTGCATTATAAGAGAGGGAAATTTTGTCCAGGAAAAGACAAGAAAAATTTACAGAGAAGAAAAACTGGAGGAAGTTTAAACCTGTTGGTCCTGAGTAACCCAGTTACATAGAATTGTTTGAAGAGGTGAAGCCAGCAGAAGGCCAGCAGGCTAGAGTGGCCTGAGCAGCTGATATAGCCAAAAAACACTTCATTTTCAACGAAGCCCAAAACTTTTCTTTCTTTTTACAAAAATATATTTATATATAAGGAGCCCAAAATTCTTGTACAATTGAACTTGCTTAAGTCGAAATCCAAAATGCCATTGAAATATTGTTCAAATTAGATAACAAGCCCGTAGCCAGGGGGGTTCGTTGGGTTCGAACGAACCCCCCTTTTTCATGAAGTGCCCTTTCAACAAAGGCTGGCTAGCCTACACTTTAGGCCTAGCCTAGAGTCTATCATCATTAAAAGTCCTACTTTAATACCCGATTGTTGGGCCTACCTAGTAACATAAAAAATTCAGACCCCGAAACCTTGACTCAGAAATACCGGGATGGTGTCCAGCGGGGGATAGTTTCACCTGTGTATATATATATATATGATTATAATACGCTACAACCAACCATACAAATTTGTCTCGGTTCTTTTTGTTACTGATTGTCTTAAGTGAGTATAGTATGATACAACTTCCAAAGTGCTATATAAATAAAAAATAAAGAATAAACCGTACTGGATTCTTTGGAGTTTGTATCATGCTACTGTTGTTAAATTACCAATACTTTAGTACTAAAGTAGTAGTTTTTTTTTTGTTTTTTATCTTTTCCCAACCAAAAAAATTACCTCTTTAATATATACAATTTTTTTTAATGTATGGCCTCTCAAATCAATTAAATAACACCTGTAAATGCTTAGAATGCTGGACCCCCACCGGGGTTTTGGCCCTGGACCCCCAGGGGGCCCTTGGCGGCCCCCCCCCTGGCCCCAGCCAATGGTGCTCGCAAGTGTCCTTTCAGTATCAAAAAGAACCCCCTACCAAAATCCTGGCTACGGGCTTGGATAAAATTTGACTTACAGATTGTTAAATAATGGAATACACAACAATTTGCCATGTAAAATTAGATCGAATTATAAATTATTCAACTTAGGCAAAGTCGAATTAGGCAAGTTTAACTGTATTTAAATTTTTATCTCAATTCACTTTAAGAAGTTTAGATTGAAGGCTACGATAGTTAATATCCCATATGCTTTATGTTTACATTATACAGTATTATATTTTCATCTAAGGCTAAAATATATGTGTCATGCCGTGTTTTTGAAGGTACAACGTTTGCATCAGCAGTGGTGAGGACCGTGCTTTATTCCGCAAATTACCGATTCAGTATGCCGTATTTGATGAGGCACACTTCTTGAAGAACATGACAACTCAGAGATATGTAAACCTTACGAAGATAAATGTATGTGTGTTTTGAAACTTTAACTACATTATATCACATCTTATAATAGTTTTATATTAATACCATAATTTTATAATGTAATAACAAATTATTAAAAATTTGAAAATAACATATAACCATAGGGTTTTTAAGTGATTTTTTTTTCTCCCAAGTCATTAAATACACAATCAGTAGTATTCCTAATGCAATTTATTACATTCCAAATCATTCTCCTTTTACCTTGTACATATTAATACTTATATGTGAAGAGAAACAAAGGTGAAAGCAATGTCACCAACTTTACCCTTGCACATGCTAAGTCTCACTTAAAATTCTTACAAAATGCTAAATTAGTCATAAACAAAATTATGAGATATGCAATTGTTAGTGTGTATACTACCTTTGTTTTCACAGGCAGCCAACAGATTACTACTAACTGGAACTCCACTTCAAAACAATCTACTGGAATTAATATCTCTGCTCAGCTTCAGTATGCCAAATCTCTTCATGTGTAAAACTAACCACCTGCAAAGAATATTTTGTCTAAAGGTAATTATTAACAACAAAATCATCATTATCTTCTTTCAAGCTTGCTTTGTGCTTGAGTGTTGTATTTTAACCTTAAATAAACGATATTTCCTATCCTAAACAGAAACAAAAACAAGGAAAAGAAAATGAAATTGGGACATTTGAGAAAGACAGAATTGCTCACGCTAAACAGATCATGCAACCATTTGTCCTAAGGAGGATAAAAGCTGATGTAAGTTTAAAATGCTTAAAATAAAAAATTATTTTATAGTTTAAAAAAAATTTGCAGATAATAGAAGTACAGATCAGAAAATTATAATTATTTCAAATTGAGATTATTTTAAAAACCTGAACTTTATAATTAAACTTGGAATATATGCTGTTTTCAGACCACATTCAGGCTGTAATCAACCTCGTAACTTGATTCAAAAACCAAAATAAAGCATATGATGCAATCAATGTGAATTTATCAACATGGAAATCATGTTTTTTACCTTATGTTTTTATTTGTATATATCACTTATCATTTTTAATGCAAGTAAGTTGTAAATTTTATAACAATAATGTGGTTTTATATATAATCATATTTTTTTTAACCTATACTAATTTCAAAATATTTTTATTTTGCTGTGTTTTTGTTCTATGCAGAATATTGCTCATTGAGCTTTGTCAAAAAATGAATTTCTGTGCTGGACAATAAAGATTTCTTTATTCTGTATTTCTGTATAAGTGGCTCAAATGTTATGTACTTCTGAAAAATTGTAGGTTCTAGCTCAGTTGCCCAAGAAGATTGAAAAGATTCAAATGTGCCCACTGGAGCCAGAACAGGAGCGCTTAAACAATGAACTCAAAGCCACGCTCTCCAAGAGTTTACAAAACAAAAAAGATCCTAAACTGTTCACTAATATAAAGGGAGCTATGATGCAACTACGAAAAATGGCCAACCACCCTCTTCTTCACCGTGTCATGTACACCGATGAAAAGCTGAAGGAAATGTCTCAAGTTATGCTCGAGGTATGAGTATTTACTTTAATCATTTCTTTGAAATCCAGTCTTTAAAATTCAGAAATAACAAACAGAAAAGGACTTATACCAAAGGACTGGTAGCAGACTTAGTTAAATAAAATGAGCTGTCCTTCCTGACTCTTGATTGGCTTTCATATTGCATGTAGCCTCATTTTGTTTGGCACACATTTGCTAAAAGTTAAACTAAGTTTGCTCAAGCTGTAGTAACATATTGTGGGATGGTTGGCAGGTGCATGATGTCATTTATATCATCATCATCAATGTTAATATCATAATAGTAATGTCATTATTAATATATAATCATACTTATATTTTTAATTTTGTCAGGATGAAGGGCATAAAGAAGCGAATCCAGCCCTCATATTTGAGGACATGAGCGTAATGTATGACTATGAACTCCATCGCCTGTGCCACCATTATCCAGTCTTGAAGTCATTCAGACTGCCTATTGAAACTCTCACTGCCTCAGGGAAATTTACTGTTCTGGACCAATTACTGCCTGAAATGAAGGCTAAGGTAGAGCAAAAGACAATTTGTTATTAATTTTAATTTCTACTTTGTGAATACTTACCTGGATAAGCTGACTAATTGCCTATTCTCTCTCTCAAGAGAACACCCCTTAAAAAATAATTGAAGTCGACTAACACAAACGATCACTCAACATGCAATTTAGATTTTTAGATTGAAGTGATTCAAACAAGCTGATGAAAAGTAAATAGTGAGCAGCATAGCTCAGTCAACTAAACTGATGGTTGCCACTTTATGTGTGCACCATAAGCCATTAATCCCGTGTCCAAAATGGCCCATGTGCATTTTTAAGAGCGTAGTACACTCCTCGAAGAGTAGGGGATTGTCTCCCAGTGTACTGCCCATTATCAGAAGGACCCCCTGAAAATAAGATTTTAGACTTTCATGAGTTGTCCTTGGTGTTTGCACCGAATAAATCTAATCCAATCCAGTAATATAATTTATTCAACAATGTTATTACACAATCATATTTATATTATTATTATTACTAATTATAATTCTTGTCATTATTTTGCAGAAGGACAGGGTGCTTATTTTTAGTCAGTTTGTAATGCTCTTGGAAATTCTTGAAATTTATCTACAACATCGTGGACATAGCTACCTAAGATTGGATGGACAAACACCAGTTACTGACAGGTAACAACCTTCAATAAATTCTGTTTTTTTGTTTTTGCCAGAATAAAAAGCCTGCTTCTGTTGACCCACTTGTTATTATCGAAATTTGAAATAAAAATTTCCGATAACCTGGCAACTACCACTGGGTGACTTTCAGAGGCCTAGCATTTCACTTTTAGGTAGTTACCATCATGGTTAAATCGATGATAAAACTAATTTACTAATGAGTACAAATATTTTAAGAATGAAAAAAACACAAAATGTTTATATTAAAAATAAGTGCAAGTCTTAAAAAGCTATTTCAATGTTTAGATATACAGTATTTATTACAGAATTACTAGATATTTAAAAACTAATCAACTGATCTGAATGAAACTTTTGTGAAAGTTTAACTAAGTTACAAGGAAGAAATTATTCAATTTTTGTGATCAAGATTTGTGTGTGAATTTGATGGCCATTTAAAATTCTAAAGTCTCAGACCTAAATATCTCCAAAAACTTATTAATGTATCTAAATGAAACTTTCAAGAATAGTTTGTCATGGTGCAGTGAAGAAATGACTAATTTTGGTGAATTTCTGGAGTAGGGTGTAGATATGAGGACCATTTTTAAAATGTCCCAGGCCATATATAACAAAAACTAATCAACTGATCTGTATGAAATTTTTAGGGAAGTTTAACCAAGTTACAAGGAAAAAATTATTTAATTTTTGTGATTTCTAACTACTGTATTTGAAGCGAGTATTTATGAGGAGGGGGCATGCATATAGCCACATTTTCCCTCAATTTGCTCTTTTCATAAAATGCAGATGGTGGAAAGGGTAAAGGGAAAATAATCCATAACTCACAGCTTGATTGTGCTTAATTGCGTATGGCCGTGGTCCCTGACTGATTGCATATGGCCGTGGTCTATGACTGATTGCATATGGGCGCGGTCTATGACTGATTGCATATGGGCGCGGTCTATGACTGATTGCATATGGGCGCGGTGTATGGCTGATTGCATATGGGCGCCGTCTATGACTGATTGTGTATGGTTAGCCGAAAAGAGTATTATAGTTCAAAATAATATAAATGATATTTCAATTTTTTCTACAAATTAGGCTTGAGCTGATCGATAAGTACAACAAAAACCCAGATATTTTTATATTTCTGTTATCAACAAAGGCTGGTGGGTTGGGTATCAACCTAACATCTGCTAATACTGTAATTTTACATGACATTGATTACAACCCTTACAATGACAAGCAAGCAGAAGACAGGTGTCACAGAGTCGGGCAAACAAAGTAAGTTTTATTATTTATTATTTTATTTTTAGGCAAAAGTGCCAGGGACTGCTGATTAATTATTTTTTGACATTATACAGCAAAGTTAACTTGTGATGGATTTAAATTATTTAGTTAGGAAAGATCTTCCATTATCAAACAACCATTTCTCCCAAAATAAAAAAAAATAAGAAAGCTACGTTCTGCACTTCCTTTGCCCAGTCGGCTAATCTGGTTGTAGCCACCGTGTGTGCATTGAACCGTGGAGATCTCTAGGTCCCAGGTTCAATTCCTATCGCTGCCTCTATTTTTGTTTCAGCTGGAGGGCTGAAATGCAAGTTACAATAGGGCACCATCTGTCGGATGAGATGTTATTGTACAGTATGGCCCATGTGCATGTTAAAGAACGCAGTACACATGGGTTATCCGTGGTGTTTACACCAAATAAATCCATCCATCCATCCTTCCTTTGTAACAAAAACATTTCTTACGCCATGCAAACAACAGTCTTGGTATATATATATATTACATCTTGCAGAACGCTAAATGCAAGATAATCTACAACCACATCCATGACAATAATACAATATTTATCACATGAAAAGTCGATTAGTTCATTTTGATTTTAAGTGCTTTCTTCTTTCCATAGATTTTAAATCACCTTCATAGGTGTGATTGTTAGTAGTAGTGTACATTACTTTCTTTTTAATCTGTAAGCTTTATCTAGTAAAATCACTTTTGTATTAGCCGGTAGTCATGAGCATTGTAATTCCAACGTTTTGGATAATATGTTTATCTGTCATCATATTCAGACACAGTACCATTTCACCTCCTTCAAAATGAACTCTCTTTCTGTCTTTCTGTTCCCTTTCCTGTGTGCAAGTTAATACAATATTTATGCAACAATATAACTACTAGTAATCTTTTTTTTTTCTTTTTTAGGAATGTGAATGTAATTCGACTAATTAGCAAGAACACCATAGAAGAAGGGATGTTGAAGCGTGCTCAGTACAAGTTGCAGTTGGAGAGGGACATGATATCATGCCAGGATGATGATGAGGAGGAAAATAAAGCAAGTGATGCATCTATTCTTCAGGAGGCACTGCATCTATAATCAGCCTGTTTATAATGTAGAGCAACGTGTGGAAAATGTTTTTCCACCTGGGATGTGTAGGAGAGGAATATTCCACCTAGATTGTACAAATGATGCAACCTAGATTGTAAGTCATTCCACCTTGATTAGGTCAGGCCAGCTTAAAATTAATGCTATCCAGAATGTAGGCAAGTGAAACTATTGTACAAGGATAACAATTTAAAACAAAAATTGCCTTTTATTCACAACTCTTTGGAAGTGATATACAAAATACAAAGAAACCTAAAAACTATTTTTTCCTACAGAAATATAAATATTTTAGATAGTATTCTACAATAATATATCCCAAAATCGTACTCAAACAATGTATACTAGATACTAAGGATTAGGCAAAAAAAAAAACCACCTTATTTTGATGCCAAAGCAGAGACAATGGTCACATTGGGCTAAAATCCATGTTGAAGCATCAAATTAATTGAATATTTAGAAGTTTGAAACATCATACAGTTATTGTGTGTTCCTTTTTTGGGAAAAGAATATATTTCTTGATGAAAAAGTTAGCCAACCCTATTATTATTTTGATGGTTGCCACTTTTTGATTTTGGTGGAGACTTGAAAACATAACTTATTATTGGCATTACAATAAATTTATTAATCAGGAAAATTTTGCCATTGTGCAGTGCTTGGAATATTTGAAAATGGAATATGTTATAAAATTATCTTATAAGACGCACAAGTATATAGAAATATTTGAAAGCATAGAACACACATTCTGTGAAATTTATTTTATGTATATGAAAAGATCATGACGTTTCAGAAATAACAAGATTTAATTCCATATTTTATTATGCCATCAAATTAAAAACATAAAATAACTTTTATCTTGCCATATAATATTAAAAACTCATGTGCAAGTTAAACAGGGGTTAGTCTTGGAAATAAATTGAACACTTATACAACAAATTTATCAAAATATTTGCCTTGGCACCAGAAAATTTGAACACTAAGTGCTCAGGATGGCGACTATTAATATGACTATAAAATTAACATTTACAGACATAATAACAAGGCATGTTTTTTTGAAGACATTGTAGAACATCCTAAACACAGGGAGCATGGAAACTCTTTCCAGCTAGAATGTTGAAATTACAACCATCACAAGTTTAATGACAGCCTTGCATTCTTTACTGCTCATTTTTTATATTTAGTTTTTAATGATTATTTGACTTATTAAGCCATGTTATTATCACTTTGTTACATTTATTTATTTGGCTTCTCTAAATGGAGCATATTTTTTAGAAATTTAAATTACATGATCTTCGTGCTATTGCAAGTTTGCTTTATACATGTTTTGTAAAATTGACCAACCTGTTGTTTTGAATACCTTGTTTGTTAGACCTCTCATGTAAATACATGAAATAAGTTATTAAATAGATATATTTGATAAAAAACAATACTGATCATTTTTGGTTGACTGAACCTTTCAAAAAGGTAATTTTTTGGACCCAAACTCAAAGGTGTATTATACTATTGAGGATGAACTGCAAATGTATTCATGTATAGCCAAGCGGGCTTAATTACTAGAGGTTTGTGTTAGAGTTTCCAGAAACATGATGCTCTATCTTATACCATGGATATTAAGTACCAGGGCAGAAGTAGTACGGTAGTTGACTTGCATTTCATTTTTGTATACACTACTTTTTTAATGGATTTGCCTGGTGGTAAAGCCTCAGCAGTTCAATACCATCTTTTAATTCTTCATCAGCTGTCAGCCTCCGGTGGCAGTATCGCTGAAGGTCGCTCACTTCTGTATGCCTCATTTGAGTTATTTCAGCTAATTCTTCAGATGAAGCATCTGCAAGAAGCTGTAAAAGAAAAACAAAAGAGTATGTGTTGTACACTAATTTTCATTTAAAAAGCATACCTTGTTTATTTTTAATTTGTGTTGTGCAGAAGCTATGGCATTGCAGATGTTGAGTAAGACAATAAAAATTATCAATTCAAAAGATGTTATCTTTCATTTTTGTGTATTATTTCATGTCATGTACAATAATAAACCTGATGAGATTCCAAGTTAGGCGAATTGCAAGGAGTATCAATGGAACTAAAACACTCCCCCCACCCCCCAATTTTTCATTCTCAAATCCATCAGATTTTCCCCCTAGAATCCCCAATTACATTTTATATAAACCTTGCACAAATCACTAATTAATCAGGTATACAATTTGAAAGAGAAATAATCTTGTAAAAATGAATTTACCTGAAGTTCATGCAGTGTTAGCAATGGGATGCGGGCTGGATTTATCTTGATTGACCGTGCTACAACCTCCAATTCGTTGTCGTTTAAGGAGTCGGTCTGGTCTGTTGCTTGTGTGCTATCAAGCTGAAAATCTTTAACTAAACGAATGTGTAATACAATAAAATAATACTGTTTATCAAAATTAATAAGCAATACATGTGTCGGTGTGTCTATAAATGCATATATATATTTAATATATAAGAGAAAGAAAACAGAGTAGACTTTGAGAACACAATTTTTATTTTCTCATGAATATTTTGACCTGATCTCAGGTCAGGATATAACTGTACTGTATCATATTATATACTGTAAATATAAGAGGAAAAAATTAAAGTCAAGCCAACCATCATCTACAGGTCTGCCCATGTTCATAACTTATGGTAAATCTTTAATACTATTTAAATATTAAAAACAAAAATACCAATAAGCTTTTAAATTGAAATATTTGGTAAGATTTACCATGTCTTTGCTTCCATTGCCCAGGGGGCGGATTTAGGGGGGGCCGGCCCCCCCCCCTTTTAAGAGGTAAAAAAAGAAAAAAAAGAAGAAAAAAAAGAGAGAAAAGGAAAAAATGATGGCTAAAAATGCCTCAAATGTTATGTTCGGGCGTCTAGAACATAAAAATTTCGCGGGGGCATGCCCACAGACCCCCTACGACAGTGTTGTCTCAATCGGCCCAACTTTCGGCCCCCCCTTTTGGACATTTCTGGATCCGCCCCTGTTGCCCATGTTCATAACATATGGTAAGTCTTTAATACTATTTAAATATTAAAAACAAAAATACCAACAAGCTTTTAAATTGAAATATTTGGTAAGATTTACCATGTATTTGCTTCAATTGCCCATGTTCATAACATATGGTAAGTCTTTAGTACTATTTAAATATTAATAATAAAAATACCAATAAGCTTTTAAATTTAAATATTTGGTAAGATTTACCAGGTCTTTGCTTCCATTGCTCTCCCTCTTTGAGTGCCATCAACAGCACATAATTTGGCAACATTTCAAAGTATTCGTTATCCTCTAACATTGTGCCATCACTTTCCTCTACAATTCTCACTTTTTCTTCAACCTCAAAGTATTTTTTATATTTTGTCTTCACATCATCTATTGTGGATGCCACCACTCCAATCTGTTTACTTCTGTCTGCATCGCATATCTTGAATGGTTTGGCCATTCTTTTTTCACCTCATCTGAAACATAAGAGACCCTATTTCATTATTCTACCGGTATTTGTATTCAATCTGAATTTGTATTTGCTGGTATTAACCCGGTACCAGCAACTCTCGTCGTCCACCACAGGGGCTGTCTGTTCCAGTACACCGTGGGATCCTCCTACTCATCTCAAAGGATGTACTGCTTTCTTTATAGTGCACACGACCCATTGTATACACTGGTTCTATGGTTTGTACAGTAGTCCTTATCCGAGAAGACGTGTTCTACCACCAGAACCATAGGTGAGCGTGCCGTTCGAACCAGCATCGATATTATGGCTATAGCTTGTGGCACCCCCAGCTAACCGCTCAGCTATTTGACTCGCCATTTATAAAGTTATAAAAACGTGCAATATGAATTTGCAGAAGATGGGTTATTTTCCGAGAGACTGCGCAATGATGAGTTAATAATATCTTATGTATGGTCACACTGTCACGGGTTCTGATTAAAAAAAAAAAAATTAAAAATGAACTGTAGAATTTATTATTTTGAGCTGGTTAAATATATATCCAATTGGCAAATGCCACAATTACAAGAGAGATTATTCTCAATATTCGACCTTACAAAATTCTTGTTTACTTGTTATAATAGCTTTAATTTATATATTTTTAATATTTCATATTTTTGAGTGATACTTGCAGCAGATCATATTATCTACTACAATTCAATTGCACCACCTTCAACACTCTGAGGCCCAGAATCTCTTCTAAGCCCACTTAGGCTGGTACCTGTAGTCCCTAGCCTAGAAGAAAGACGGAGGCCGTAAGACTAACGACAACAACAGCTGGAGTCTAGTTTTAGTCCAAGGCTATACCAGATTTTGTATTTTCCAAGATCAAAAGGATTGAAAATGGTATATAAATTACAGATTCAGTATCTAAATACGTTGCAAAACAATACCTGTAAGCCTCCTTTTAACTATGCTAGGCCTAGCTAGCGTCCTAGGCAACTAAAAAAACCGCCAGGTAGGAAATTCCCACGGTCTGGTACCACCGTGCGAATGTTCAGTTCTTGTACTTGTTTTTGCACGGTAAAGGTGTAGCCAATCAGCATGGAGATGTTGTGATCTGTGTGATAGAGGGCGCACTGAATGACAAAAAATCGATCGAACCCGACGAGCCTGCCGACGATCGACAAAGTGTCCGCGTGTGTGTGTGCGAGTACGTTGAGGTTAAGTTGGTTAGCCCTGGCCTAGAGAGACCGGCTTCAATACAAGTGGTAAGATAATCTTAGATTTATATACTCCATACTTTGTTTATCACGTATTGTTGTAAGTATCAAGTGGGCTGTTTAGCACAGAAAATTCTTAAGGTTACTCACTACTGTTAACTAGGCTAGGCCAGCCTATTCGAATCTACAGCGCGTACTACTATTTATTAGCTACTAGCCGAGGCCTAGGCTTTCTTTTTTGAGAGATTTGTGCGGGTCTGCGTGTGTGGTTCCCAGCAGTACATATCACTCGGTTAGCCTAAGACTATAAAGTAAGGTAGTAGTAGTAGGCCTAGCCTAGAGAGAGAGAGTAAGTGTACCTCACGGACTATAAATTATGTTCATTCATTCATTCATTCATCTTTTATTTCGGAATTTCATGTCCATACAAAAGAACAACAGTTAAACCAAAAGACATACAAATACATAAATATATGTAAGACAAAAGTGAAATATAGACTGAATCAAGAAAATCTTATGCAAAATTTGTGCAAAAGAACAATCCTTATTTCCATTAAGTGTTTGAGGGGGCAGCTGGCTTGAAAAAGTTATAGTGATTTGTTTGCTTAAGCTTCCCCCGACCATCTTTTGGTCAAATAAATAAACTGAAACTGAAAAAACGTCAAGATCAGGAAATCATCTTAATGGACGACAATGTTCCACTTATTATACATTTTAGAATTGGAAAGAGCATAATGCTTAATGGCCAAAATGATTGAATTAGAGCTGATTTTCACACGGTTCCTGAAACTATGTGTAGAGTTTCTAAGATACTCGTCAAAAGACGGTACAACATTGGATATAAACAGTGCTTCGGTTGTCGCAGTAATAAACAAAGATAGTGGTAATTTGTTTTGGTGGATATCAAGACAATACACTACAGAGTAAAATTTATACACACAGTTCTGTTAAACTTATATTTATACTTTATATGAAATCTTATGCGAAATTTGTGCAAAAGAACAATCCTTATTTCCATTAAGTATTTGTGCACAGAATATATTCAGAATCCATCTTTAATCTGGATGCCCTAGCTGTCAGATCTTAACTTACTGATATTTAAACCTAATTGGAATAGTCTACTCTACTGTAAATTGGAATAGTCTACTGCACAATAAATTGTTAATGACTCTTCCATAAATAAGTTTAAAGGCCATCGTGAAACATACTGGCAAGCGAAAAGACAGTCTGAAGTTTGAACCCTGTCAAAATGGGTGATGGAGACTCACAAAACCATAACAGGTTTCCAATCTAAAGGTCAAGGTAAGTCAAAGTAAATGATAATTTTTTCTTTTACAGATTTCATACAAATAAGGACATAGTGACACTTGCAGACAATGGATTTCCAAAACCGAGCTGGTGGGAAAACCGGCAGTGGTGGTGTGGCATCTGCTTCAGAGAGTAATCGTGATAGGAGGGAAAGACTTAGGCAGTTAGCTCTAGAAACAATTGATCTGAACAAGGTAAATGCGCTAAAATTTTGTCTTACAATTTTCTTTCTGTGCATCCATGATCCAGTTTATACATACTGTGATATATGTTTGATAGTACTGTATATTCTAAACTTATATCATTTTAATTCTGTCACACGTACACATTACTGACATTCTTGTGCAGTACTACACAAAAATATTTAGTCCAACATTCTATTATAAATTTTGTTCCTTTATCTTTATATAGGATCCATATTTTATGAAGAACCATCTTGGTTCATATGAATGCAAACTATGTCTCACTTTACATAACAATGAAGGAAGCTACTTGGCTCATACTCAGGGCAAAAAGCATCAGTCCAATTTGTAAGTGCAAGTTTAATATATTTGTAAATTGTGCTTTGGTATATCAGGAGCTTTTAACTGTAAAAATACTTAAGTATATTTCATGTGCATTTTATCATTTATTTTGAATTGTTGCTTTTGTAAACATGTAGTTGTTATATTACATTATAACATTTAATAGATGTCTCTTGATATTCATTTTTTAGTGTCCGTATCACAGTCAATCATAGACATTAAGATCTCAGAATGTTAACATTTGTAACATGCATAGAAAGATAAATTGTAACAGCCAATATATAGATGATAGCTTTAAGAATCCAACTGCCACTTTTACTTATTATTTTACATATTGATTAAATATTAATATTATTTATTTATTTTGGTTTTTATTTGATTACTGATTATTGTAAATAGTTATTGAATTCAGTTCTTTTAAGTATTTTTAATCTTGTTTGTTTTGTGTAATGATAGAGGGCGACGTGCAGCTAAAGATGCTAAGGATGCACCTGCCCAACCAGCTCCTGAGAAAGCAAGGGTCGAAGTAAGAAAATTTGTCAAGATTGGTAGACCTGGTTACAAAGGTAGGTATTGGTAATGACAAAAAACAACGGTTTTGTATTGATCAGGCTCAGTAGCATATCTCGCACCCTGTCTCTTATACACATCTAGATGTGTATAAGAGACAGATTTCATGTCATGTACAATAATAAACCTGATGAGATTCCAAGTTAGGCGAATTGCAAGGAGTATCAATGGAACTAAAACACTCCCCCCACCCCCCCATTCCAATCAGCACCCCCACTTCAAGACTTCTAGATCAGCCACTGATCAGGCTTCCCAAGGTAAAGAAGAAATAAATAAAATAAAACAAACATCCCAACTGTTGTAGAATTTATAAGAATATGTATAATTATGATATTTATATATCTCTTTTTTGTAGTGACAAAGCAGAAGGATCCAGAGACTGGCCAACAGAGTCTGCTGTTTCAAGTGGATTACCCTGAGATCGCTGACATCACACCAAGGCATCGTTTCATGGCAGCTTATGAACAAAAGATTGAGCCCCCAGATAAGAAATGGCAATATTTGCTGTTTGCAGCTGAGCCCTATGAAACTATAGCATTTAAGGTATCGTCTTCTTAAATGTTTTATTTTGGTTTTTATTAGAAGGTTGCTACTAGAACATTATCTAACTTTAAAAAGCAATTTGAAAAATGAACAGAATGGGTGTCTCTATACTATGGATGAATGGGTGGATTAATTTGGTGTCTTCCATAGAGTTTACTACATTTTTAACATGCACATGAACCATAGTGCACACATGACCAATGATTTAAACGTCTCATATGAAAGGCGGTGCGCTATCGTAACATTTCTGCCCTCCAGCTGAAACGCAAGGAGAGCAGTGATGGGAATTGCACCGGGGACCTAGAGGTCTCCACGGTTCAGCGCACACACAGTGGCTACTACCAGTTAGCTAACTGAGCTAAGCTGCTCTCTTAATAATTTATAATTTAATATATAAGTCAAATCTATGATATATGTTATTGTTAAACATCAACGGTCTCAAATGATCAACTGTTCACTCCCCAATCCTCTATATTAGAATTGTAAACTGCATGCACCAGCAAGGGTCCCAAATGATCAAATAACGCTAAAGCAATTGTGTTTTCTTTTAAGGTTCCTAGTCGTGAGGTTGATAAAAATGAAAACAAATTCTGGACACAATGGAATAAAGAGACTAAACAGGTAAGTAGCTTTGTTCCATGTAGGCCCTTTATTGCTATTTTCCATTATGTTGCTGTCATTAATATTATAGCATAATGTGAATACACACGAAGAAGAGCAAAGCACGAAACTGTTGACATTGTTTCAAATAAATTTTACAGCAGATGTATACATACGATTTTGCGTCTTGCTGTAATTTTTCGCCGATGCAGACTCATCAGCATGTGAATGTAAACTAGATAAATATTTTGTAGGCTATAAAATTTTAAAGATAATATTTACTCTTCAATTTTAATTGTATTTTTCACTTTATTGATTCATGAACTGGTCTATAATCAATAAAATGATCCTTGTAAAATAACAAGCGTGGAACTTCTGGGTGGTTGTTTTCTATAAATTTAATTTTTTTTTTTTTTTTAATCTTTTTCAGTTTTTTCTGCAATTCCACTTCAAAATGGAACCAAAGCCAGTAGTCGCAGTACAACCATCACCACAGATTAAAGGATCAGCACCACCAGCAAACCTACCTCCTCCACCTGGAATACAGCGGGGTCCACCACCTGGTATGAAGCAAAATGACCAAAGCAGACCTCCATTCAGACCAGGCATGGGTAGCAGACCCCCAAATCTGCCACCTCCACCAATGGTTGGACGAAACGGACCTCAAAGAATGCCTGGCAACTTGCCTAGACCTCCTATGCCCCCAATGCCTCCTCCCCCTGGAATGCCTCCATTTAACATGCCTCCCGGTATGTTTCCCCCTCCAGGATTCCCTTACCCCCCAATGCCGCCGATGACGCGACCTACATCCGCACAATCTGACATGAACAATGTTCCTCCTCCTCCAATTACGTCAAACCCAACCAATCCTCCTCCTCCACCCGTCAGTCTAATGCCACCCCCTCCTGGGGCGGTCCCGCCACCTCCACCTACTCGTCTCATGCCTCCTTCTCTGAGTAATATGCCTCCAATATCATTACCAAACCCTGTACCTCCGCCACCTTTACACATGGATGAAACAGTAGAGGAGGCCAATGCTGATGACTGATTAAATAACACTTGAATGTTTTTAATATATTGTTATAGTGTATGATGAATTTAATTTTTCATATTTTATTTTTTTTGTCATTGAGAATATTCCGAATTTTTAGTTTGAATAATATGTAGATCTCTTATCATTAATTGTGAATATTAATTATTACATTTTATCAGGATAAAATTTTTAAGTATCACAGGAATTCAATAGCAACATTAGATGGCAATTTTTATGGACAAAACAATGTATGTAATCCATTGTAGACTGCTATAATTCTGCTATCTCAATGCCATATTTGATCACAGGACTACTTTATTATATACAGTATGTTTGTAATATAGTATGTAATATAGTACAGAACCTGTGCTTCTTGTACAACTGCAGTTCTATTATGTTTTATAAATATATCTTAGTACTGTATATACATTTTTTGCAACTGGAAGTGATCATTAGTTTTTTTTTATAATTAGAATACAAAACACACTCTTACTTGTGAGCCCCTCATCCCTTTCCTGGAAAAGTAGACAAAATATAATCATGATTCTTGTCATTTTGTGGTCATCAGGAGCGGACCCCCTGTTTTGCCACTAATTTTAAAAATTTCAATGCATATTAATGTTATGTGCTACTGACTTATCTATTCTTAAACTGTTGTGCCCACCCCCTCCTGTGTGAACAATTTTGGACCTGCCCCTAATCATTACTTTTTTTTTTCACAAAACAGTACATACACTAATAAACTATAGAGCATGTTATGAACTCATTATTAGACAATGCTTAAGGAGCCTTGTTTGCACTGTACAACTGTTCTATTTTTTTTTTTAGATGACATCATTGTACTGTTTCAATGTCATGATGTAGTTGTTTCTGATAACAGCAATAAACATTCAAATTTTGTGTAAACTTCTTTTGTGCATTGTTTTCAATTTCAATTTTTGTTCAAAATATGGATGAAATAGAATGGAGCATCCATATCGCAGTTATAAACAGCAATAAAATAACACTACAAGAGATACACTGTTTGGTAAACTTGGTTTAAATTATTCACTAGCGGACTGTCTATTCGCTCAGCAACTATGTATACAAAAAAAGTTGAAAGAAAGCAACCAATTACAACTATGCCGTGATGAAGTGTATCATGACACCACCATGGTTTGCATGTCTTTAAAAGTTAGGATTAAATAAGCTCCAATGATCATTCGCCAAATTAAATTTAAATATTCAAGTTTGAATCCTTTCTATGGCCTCATGTTCCACAGTTTCTGCTGTAATCGCATTACGTATTTGAAACCCTGGGACAACATCCAGTAGCACTTTCAGAGGATTTTATTAGCATTAGCAATTTATCCCCTGGGGTCAGGGGGAGTACACCCATGGGAATATTGCCACATACATTTATTCTCTGGTGACATTGGTTCAGTCAAATTGACTTGCTGCGGATTTAAGTATTATTAATTATTTGGTGATTATCAATTAATAAAAGTGTACTGGAGTCTTTGACGGTACAGTGATACGAGAAGCGTGGATTCAGTTTGATCTAGATGGATTTATTTAGGTAGGCACATTTGAAATTATTGGTTTATATCTTTTTAATAGTATACCGTAAACAAAGTTAATGATCTATAGAGATCAAGGAAGAGCTGTGTAAAAAATAAAATAGTGACAAACAGCAACCGAAAAATGTGGATGAAGACTGACAATTGTCGGCACTCAATACTGGAGATTAACAAAAAAGATTGCCACACCTCACCTCATGGATGTAATAGTCTATAGTCCAACTGTTATATATGATCTTTAAGCATTTTTTTTTCTTGACGCTGGGTTAAAGCGAATTTGCTTTTAGAAAAGCATATTTTTTTTTATTGTGGAGTGACAAAAAACATTAAAAGAGAATTACAAAGTCCGTGTTTGTGTCGCCAAATCCATTATTAATGCTATGGAAATATACTGCTGTATTTAAAACCCAGTCTGTTCATACTTTGACTTGATTGATTGAATACAAGTTTTACTGAACATTAGAAATAGGCTAAACATGGCAACAATCTGGGCTGAATTGCGTTTCACACATACTAATAGTTATGGGTTCGTTAATTACATTATTTTGTTCCCACACGTATGTCCAGACTTATTTCTCGTTAAAACCTCAGAAGACTGATATAAGCCAGCTATTTATATTTATTATTTATCATTTTGTTTATTATTTTGATATTAATAATTATTATTTTTAACGTTTTAAAGTTTTATTTGTAAACTGACATTGATTTGATAACTGATTTCAATTATATGTTTATTACATGTTTATTACAGATAGATAAACAATAATATCAGTACTGAATAGAAACATATGCCATAATCGTATCAGGCAACGAAACGTTCCTTTTTCAGTTGTATGAGAAAAGAGTGTTCCGGGGCGGGATTCGAACCAGAAGTCGTTTACTATCGGCGAGTGTCATACCGGTGTACCAATAGATTAAGTTTGTTATTCTATCTTTACAACTATGGAGGAACCTGAAGAATGTAACGTTACTGAACAATAATCAACGAAGTATTCATTCATCAACATTTAAAATGTACAAATGTACTCAAAGGAGCTATAATAATGATAATAATAATAATAATAATAATAATAATGATAATAATAATTATTATTATTATAAATAATAAATAATAATAATAATAATAATAATAATAATAATAATAATAATAATAATAATAATAATAATAATACATAATAGTGTTAATAATAATTGTGTTACAAAGTTTTGCGCCTCTATATGACAAACTTCTCTTTTTGTAGTCGGTTTTTCGTTTTGGCAATATTAATTCAGGTGCAACCTGGTGTCTGAATATCAAAACATTATTATTTATGTGTCAAATGAAAAGGCATTAAAATTTAGAGTAAAGAAGTTGAATAATGAAAGAGAACATAAAAGGCATAATAAAGTAAGACAAAAATAATAGGTCTATAATAACAATAATTATCAAAAGAATAAACAAAATAATAAATAATAAATATAAATAGTTAGCTTATATCAGTCTTCTGAAGTTTTAACGGGAAATAAGTCTGGAAATACGCGTGGGAACAAAATATTTTACTATGTATAATCCTCCCACATGCATGACTCGCGTAATCATCGTTAACACGTGGTTACTGACCGTATAATTGTAGCGTTGAATGATACACATGATATGAAGAGAATGATTAAAAATTAAATATTCATCGAAATTTAGCTGTCGGGTTAAGTTGAACACCCACGGACAGCCAGTGTGACGTCAATGCTGACTATATTATATACACTTCATATTTTTAAGTGTTATTATTGAATGCCTAAATACCATTGGCCTACACATCAAACTACTTATTTGGCGAACATAGAGCTTGTAAAATTTGAATACTGTATTACTGTACCTTATTGCTATGACTACAGCGCCAACCAGCAGAAAATTACAACTACGAAGATGTAGGCCTACACTGCCAATTAGATTATTTTAGTATTATCAAACCCTTTAAAAGTTAAACAAGTTTTTGTTATTTTGTTTATTTTGAAATACTATTTTGTATGCGAATGTCATCAAAGTCACGAAATTGAATAATGTTCACAATTACACGAACATTAATAATAAGTATAGATAGATGATGATGATAACACACTCGGGTTTGACGCCTAGCACTCAAATCCAATAGTAGACAGTAGGCCGCCTATAACTGCATGTTTTATGGATTTATATGATTATACTATTTAGCGATGGATTGGAATAAATTCTATCTTTACTGAAGGAATTATTTTGTATTTCATAAATTAAAAACTATGTTAACAAAATAAGTTCTGTCGTCTGAACTACATTACCAACTATCTATAGGCCTAGGCCTATTCGTTTCTAGGCCTATTTTTATATGGACAATTATATTTAACAAATGTACGCAGTACAAGATTAATTGCCTGGCTCTTTGATGTGATAGGGGAATTCCCTAAAGTTATTCGTGGAGCCCACCATGGTTGCCTGGTGGTAAGTAATATAA